TGTCGACCGCCGGCTTCTGGTCAATCGGAAACGGCAGTTGAAGATGTATCGCATCTGGATGCAAGGAAAATTTCGTAAAGCTGAGTGATGCAAATGTGGCATGAGTCAAGCGATGTAGCCCAGGTAGCTGAACGTGTATGAATGCTCCTCCTGGTTAGATCATATCAAGTACACGTCTGGGAACTGAACATCTTAGAGCAATGAGCTACGAAGGTGGCTCTGTAATTTAGGTGTTGCCAAAGGTGATATATCTTTTCGACCTTTTCCGGCGAATTGAATTATGACAAGATGGTGCGGCGAATCATGTTCAACCACTACAGACCAATAGGCTCCCGCTGGCAAATTCATACGCTTTAATGCGTCAGTGATGCCATGCAAAGTCTGGTTTAGAGTTTCACATCCGTCATGCCTATTCCAAATTGAATGATCCCCCAATTTTCGATCCATATTCTGAAGCGCGGGTAATAAGGTGCAAATTCAGTTGCACACGAGCCTCATGTAGGAGAGGCAGATGACTGACCGCTTTAACAGTTTCAATTCTATAATAAGGATCACATTTACCAGCGATAGAGAATGATCAATCTCGCTCGTACTGCTTTGCATCAGGCTTTGTCCCGATAGAGCCGCCAGTGATAATATCTGTGCATCCGCTTATGTTGATGGTTCGGAGGTCGAGGATCACACTAGTGGGGTGCAAGTGTATAAGGGAAGGTAGGTGAGATCTTTTACAGGCTTAGGAGACTTTGACCAACCAACCGCATCACAGCCTACGCCGAGCTTGACCGGCTCCAGGCATACTTAAATTTTCGCACTCGAAAACTCTCAACTTCTTCCCCCGAGCTAACATAGCTCAGTAGAACACCCTTTGGGCGACGCAACAACCTACCTACCGTTGTTTGAAGCCCGCCGCCTCCTTGGTATGCCATTTTGCTTTACACCACCAATACAAGGTTTGAATTGATTGATCATTCCTAAGCATGTCTGGTTGGTTGCTGACTGAGTCCTGTATTTTATTTATCTGGGCGCTTCTCCTAGCAGGAAGTAAAGAACCTTACCCAGCCTTTGGATAAGCGCATGGATGAGGCTAGGCCGCACGCTAACTCATCAGATTTTTAGTCCTTCCCATCAATGGACGATTCCTGAGGTAACCCTCCCTCCGGATGCTCTCGGTCTTGACCGGCAACTAATGAGATACATCCCGTCTTTTAAGAGACTGAAACTTTTGTACCATCCCTAATTACCCAACAATTAGTTCGGACCAGGTTGAATCAAGTCCTTGAACCGTGGACCAGATTAACGGTTTGGTTCTCCTTATTGCCCAAACTTCGAATCGGACTTCGGTCGGATTCGAACCGCGGTTTAGAACTACTAGACCCGACCACCACTACACGGTGACAAAAGTTCCGACCTCGCTCGTCAGGGGGTACTTAGGCCACAAACCCATCAAGTGTGTCCTTCCGTTCAATGGCCTTAGTCACTGGTTTTGATTTATCTTCTTGGACAGAAGAAGTGCTGGTACCACCATCAATAGACACAACGACTTTCCCACCAGCCTTCCCCATCATGAAAAAGTTTGTGTCGCGCGACTCGCGCCTCATTCTACCAACACTACTGGGGGCTGATCACTCGTATCCAAGGCTCTTTATGAGTGCTGCAACAATACTCCAAATGAACAGAAATCGATGTATATACATATATAAAGGATGATAACAGTATCGACGAAAAATCGAAACTATGCAAACCACGTAACAGGCCATAAGTTACGGTCAGTACACAGTATACAGTTGTTACATTACCTACAAACAACTGACAGACTTGTGAGCTACGATACAAGACCACGCATGCGACTAGGATTTATGCATACTCCCACAAGCCTTATTCTATCTGTATCTCTCAGCTGCTAGAGTACACTCAGCTATAATAGGCTGTGGCCAGCGGGCACAGAAATAAAGTGTGAATGTAAGTTGAGATAAGCAAGTACTGAACGTGCAAGGTGACGAGGCGAAGTCATGATAGGTGCAGCAGCAGAGTGGAGGATAAACAAGAGATAAAGTGGAATTGATGACAATGCGAAAAGACGCAAGGGAATGTAAGAAGGGTGTGAGATTGTACGAGAAGGCGGGGCATAGTCTCAGATGATGTGGGTGCAGAAGGCTATTAAAAGTTAGAAGATGAGGATCCAGAGAAATGAAAAAATTTACATGCAAAAAGTAGTGATGGGCGCACGAGGTATGGTATACAAAAAGGAAGAGACAGAAGAAAAAAGTATCTTGGATGATGTGAGATCCGGAGTTGAGTGCAGGAAATGCAAGCGGGTAAATGTCGGCAGAAGAAGGCAGGAAAAACTGTCTTTGGTGAGAAAGAGAAAAACGATGTGTGAGGTGGGTGGGGATGGCAGAATGCAAGAGGCAGGAGCTGCAGGGTGTAGGCGGTCACAGCAGGGTATGGTAGGCAGCACAATGATATTGCAGTGGGTGGAGACAGTACTTAGGATGCAAGTAAGAGTCTCTGGGTAGTACTATTAATGCTAAGAGGAAAAGAAAGAAAAGTACTTATAAGGGCGGTGGCAGGCGAAGTAGAATTGTTAGCTAGGACATAGCAGGAGGGATGATCGAAAGAGGTGTGCAGTTCAATAACTTGGCGAAAATTCCAAGATAATATGTAACGTGATGAAGTCCATGCATGACATATGTAGATACCGAATGTGCATCACGCGCACTAAATCTGATACAACTGGCCATCTAGTTTCGGACGGGAAGTGCTGCACCAGCGTGTCCTGGTTGACGAATCTGTTATGTGGTACCTTGAAAGATCTCGTCAGTGCGAGACTCCGATTCTATGAAAATATTCTGCAACTTTGCGTGTTACATGACCTGGTTAGCGGGTATCTCGATATGGCCTACTGAACACAAGCATATAATATCTAGTATTTCCGTATTCACAACGTCGCGTTCCGTAAGATCTTACTCGACTCGTCTGTTCCATGTCAGATAACGCTGTGGAAGCCAATCGGGCTCCTTCCACTCTTTATCAGAAATCTCAGCAAAAATCATTTGCGCGATGACTTCGGCACTGGGAGTCATATAATGTATGAATTGAGCCTGAGACGGTGCAGTCTCACAATATGAGACTTACCATCCAAATGCGCGCGGCATTCCATGGCCAGAATATCCTGCAGCGATGTACTGTTTCTTGTACAGGTCTCCGTCTGAATTGGCTACGAATAAGTCTGCTACGGGACCAACCTAGCAAAGGACACATCAACGATGGTAGCTGCAAGAGTTGCTTGGACGTACAAATGGGTCCCCCATCTTCGTGTAGCCCATAATGCCAGTCTAAACCATCGTTAGGGATATCCTCACACACATAAAAGAGTACCTACCCATTCCATCTCAGGCTCTGAATCGGGGTCATATTTACCTTCGAATACAGACGGCAAGAACTCGCGAAGCGCTTTCCCAACAAGCGGGTGCGTTTCGGAGTCATCGTCCACATATAGCTCGTAACCGGGTGACACAGCTTCCCGGCCACCACCGATGATAACCAGCGGTTTTTCGGTGTCGTGTGTTACGGGTCGAGGGAACCAGTATGCAAACCCCTAAAAGAGAGATTGGTCACGACAAGACGGGCTGGGATGCAGTGGTTTACTTCGTTTCCGCTCCAGCTCGGTATCTTAATTTGACCTGTACCGACAGAAGCACGTGTGGCCATTACTTGTCCTCGAGTGGGTATAATTCCAGCTGGACCTGCGAGGAAGGGAAGGAGATAAGAGGAGTACGCATTCGTGGCATGGACGACGCGGGAGCACGATATGCTACCTCGGTTTGTCACGACTGTATAAGTGGAAGAGTTGTCGATCGTTTCATGCGTGACTGCAGTCGCTGGTGTCCGAGTGTGCAAGCTGAGAGAGGCGTATTGCCCAGCGTGTGCTTGAGCATGCTGGTACAGCTTTGTAACGAGTTTCAGCGGCCAGACATTATGCCCTGGCTCGCGGAATCCTGGGTAAGGGGCGCCATATTCCTGGTGACGAGTGCGTTGAATCAGACTAGAGAGATGACTAGCGAGAACAAGCACCTCCTCGACTTCCTCTTTCGAGAGCCATTCCACACTATCCAGATTGAGCTGTGCTTGACGTGCCATATCGAAGTCCTTGTGCGCATCTTGTACTTCCTTCCCTGTAAATAAGAGATTTACGTGTCCACCTTCTACGAGGTCGATGTCGCTCGTCCAGCCATTTTCCTCTATGATTTTGACCAGCAGAGAAGCGGTGTGTTGCTCGAGTTCATAGGACTTAATTGCCTCCACCGTATCGAATAATGCCTGACGATGAGAAAACTCGAGGAAAGCGGCCGGCGTAAGATGTCCACCATTCCTTCCTACAAACAATATTCTCTGCACGAGGGACTAAAGAAACACTTAGTGCTCCACGCACCGGTCGCTCCTGAGCCTGAAACGCGTCAGTACTGTACGAAAAACTTACAATCAGTATGGAACAAACTGACAAAAATCTCTCGCCTCAAGTATCACGATCCTGAGCGAGCGTTTGTCGGAAAGCGAGGCGTTATTCAAGAGTTCGATAAGGTGGTATGCAACGCCAACGCCAGTGATACCAGCCCCAATGATGCAGATGTCTGCTTCGCTAGGCAGAGGATCTTTTCTGCCTTGATCAGCGAGTGGATTTGCGTCCGGGGAGGAATCGATCCAGAAGGAGCGGGTTGGATTGCGAGATGGGAGTTTAGCAGGAGGAATCGGATGTTCCAATGGCGGTGTCTCGAGTACCTTCTGAGAATGTTCTAACTTGCCGAGTATCTGAGGGTTAACAGGCATTATCGACCAACTGAGAAGAAACAGACGACGAGAAAGGTCCAGTCTTTCATTTCCGTGAACTCGAGTCCAAAAGATAAGATAACATGACCATTAGCCTGTCGTGGTGTTCGAATTACAACCACAAATATCAATATTCAATATTCAAGTGGCGGTGACTTGGTTCGACTTCGTACATTTTTTGTCACTCTCTTCAAAATTTTTACTTCGCGGTCGTCAGCAAACACCACAGAGGCAATTGACGGAATGGGCAGTTAACTCGAAAGCAAAGTTTTCTCTAGTCTCTGATATCATCACTGCACTGCAAGACGTTGTAAGTGTCCAGTCTTGTAAGTTCAATCCTTACGCATCAATTGTGATTTTGCGCTCCAACCCCGATTATGTGACCTGTTCGACTCTCTCACTCCCTACGTTTGAAGCTGGCTTTATGGAACCGTGGCCTCATGTGAAGTTTAAGGCATTCCTGACGCGGTCAAATTGTGTCCTGGAGACCCTGATTTCAGGCTCTGGGACTGGGACCACAGATGAGCAGCGAGCGGAATATGTCGCCCTTGTCCCTTCCCTTAAAGTAGTGAGCGACTTGATTACTTGCATTCACTTCTAGTCATTACGCATGTTGGTCAGTGTTTTAGGGTACCACAATCTCCTTCATCCTCTCATGGGCCACTGTCTACCCCACAGTCTGTTTACAACTGAACAATTCGGTGTCTGCCACCGGCTCCTGGTAAACTATAAACGCCATTTGAAAATATATCGCATCTAGATGCAAGGAAAGTTTCATAAAGCTGAGTAATGCAGGCGTGGCATGAATAAAAAGTGACGGAACTCGGGTGGTTGACGGCCACCGACTTTCAAACGATAAGCCTGCTCCTCCTGGCAGGGTTTATGATCAAGTATACATCTGGGAATCGATTATTGGTCTTAGAGCGATGAAAATACTGGGCCCCTCCAAGACGTTCTGTTGCATGCAAGGTAACCTACATTTTAGACTGTATGATGATTTAAGTTAATTTCTAGATTATGCATATGACAAGGTGGTAATTGCGAGGTACAGCAGAAATATGCCTGCCAGTTATATTCCGTCACTACAGATCAGTAGGTTCCAGCTGGCAAATATGTCGCCCTGATCCGTCAGTGATTGCAAGAGGAAATCATGTTTGGTTTCTCATCCGCCATGCTTATTTCCAATCATCGAAATGTCCGGACCGCTATTAACCACTTCCAGGAACGGCTGCATACAAGTCTCATGAAGAAGATGTCGATGACTCACGCGCTCTGACGCTTTAATTATATCATATGGATCACTTGGACAAGGGCCGGGCGAACTTCTCCAGCCATAGTCCCGCTCCTGCTGCATCACGTGTAGTTCTGTCAGTGATAATGTATAATTCTTTATATCGACAGGCCGGACACCGAGGATCATACTAGAGTGGGTGCAGGTACTCAAGGGAAGGCAGGCAAAGCTCGTTAAAGAAGCTCGAGATTTCATCATTCCTTGCAAAGAAAACTGCACCATGATCCATGCAGGGCCTTGATCATCTCCAAGCATGTTTGAACTTCGCACTCGGTACCCTCCGCAAAGAGATGGACAACTCTCAGCTTCCTCCTATAAGCCAACACGGCTCAGTAGAACACCCAGTGGACGACCCAACAACCTACCTACCAAGTTGTAGCGTTGTTTGAGGCTCGCCATCTTTCTCTAGGTGAGTCGTTATTCTTACATGCATCGATGCACAAGCGTAATATTCTTCAGCATGTCTGGTTGGTCACAACCGAGCCCCTGTCACTTATTATCTGAGCGTATCTTCTAGGGAGAGTTGAAGAAACCTTGTACAGTCCCCTTTGGATAAGCGCATGTATGAGAGGTTCGCGGCGTACGTCGCTGTCTGCACAACACCCTCATCAAGGACCGGTATCATCGATTACCTGTCTGACGTACCAACCCCCCCCTCCCCCCCAAGATGTCCCGGCCGCTGAACTGGCTTCGAAATTTGAACTTGATTCTCAAAAACTCGTTCCCATTCTCCGTTGCTATGCAGCCAATGGTTGGGCTAGGGAGACCTATTATTCCTCATTTGCTCTGAACAGATGCTCGCGCACTTTCATCAAAGATCACCCAGGTCGGAGATTGGGCCTTTCGCAGGTGTTCACTATATGAGCACCTACCAAGAGGCTAAATGTCGAGGAGTAGGCCTGGATTTATGACGATGGTAGAAGCCGTACCACATTGGGCAACAGAATCAGATCGGAAACTATCGCGCTCCGCAACGCAGACTGCTTTCCAGATCGCGTTCAAGACCCCCTTGCACCGATTCTCTGGATTATGCAGAATCGAGGGACTGTCATTTCAATGTCGGATCACGTTCAAGTCAGTAATTTTTAGAGTTGCATAGCGCTTATTGGAATTTTGTTGTTCTAGGTCTTCAGTGACATGTCTACGCCAAGTATCGTGGCAGACTACCCATGGGAACTGCTGGAAACATCTGTCATCGTTGATTGCGGAGTAGGCATGGGCGGTCTAGTTTCGGCCATCCTAGACGCGTAATCTGACACACGACATGTTCCTCATATTCCTGTCTCTCAATCATGGCAGGCATCCTTCCTTGCGAGCCATCGCGCAGGACACAGAGGATGTTGTCTCACTCACCGAAGAGCGCCGTCCTCGCCATGTTGAAAGTGGTATACTCAAGGTGGAAGTCCACGTCTTTTTCCCAGC